CATAAACCAGAGACTCCATCAGCCTGAGACCAGAACTGGATGGTGCCCAGCTATCACCAATGACTGTCCTGACAGGGAACACAACAGAGAGTCCCTGAAGGAGCGGGAGAAAAGTGGAGTGCAGAACTCAAATTCACTTAAAAAGACCAGACTTAATGGTCTGAGACTGGACGAACCCCTGAAGACATGGTCCCTGTTAACCCGGAACTAAAACCATTCCCGAAGCCAACTCTTCAGACAAAGATTAAAACATAAAAAAATACTTGTGAAGAGTATGCTCCTTAGTTCAAGTAGATATACCATACCAAATGGGCAGCTCCTGTCTGGAGGTGAGAATGAGAAGGCAGAAAGGGATACCAGCTGGTTGAATGGACACGGGAAATGCGGGGTGGAAAGTGGGAGTTTGCTGTCACATTATAGGGACAGCAACTAGGGTCACATAACAATATGTGTATAAATTTTTGTATGAGAAATTCACTTGGGCTATAAACTTTCACCTAAAGCACAATAAAAAGAATTGTATAAACCTACAATCAAAAACAAATAAATCTTCAAAATTCGTCTCTTCCTACTTATTTTATTACATCTCATTATTATCTAAGCTCTTGAGGTTATTTATGTCTATTATATCTGTATGGTAGAAATACAATATAATGAGCACATCTCTTCCTAATTTCACACTCAGTGATGCCAACTTGGTAGTTTGCAATTAGCCATGGTGGGAGTATTTATACCATGGAAATTGGAAAATGCTACAAATCAGGGCTTACTTTTTTGGGAGCGAAATGCTATAGCTTTGGCATCATACCACTGAACCAAACTACCAGCTAGCCCATGAAAACATTTTAAGGTCCTATTGCACATGTGAAGCAAACTTTTACTTGGAAGAGGGATAGGTTGAAGACGTATAGAAGTATGTGTCTGTCTCTAGAAAATCATTCTCAAAATTGTATACGGGTTGAAGGTGACCATTTTCTTTCTCAGCTTAAGGCTGTGATTATTCTACAAACTCAACTGCAATTACAATTATCAGTTACTAAAGTGTATGTAATTTTATGGCACAACCTGTGCACCATTACTTCTAGACAAAAACTAATGTGTCAACTAGGTTGAGACATTAAGTTCTTAAGTGTGGAAGAGGTTCCCCTCCTCTCTTCCTGCCAAACTTCTGGAAAGAGAATTAATTAACACTCCATCTACACATGCTTACCTACTCATCAGTCTGCCTTCTGCCTCCACAATTTGACCAAAATTGCTCTAAGGTAACCACTGAACTCCAGCTATTCAATACCTTCTTTTCAGTCCTCAATTCCGTGAGCTCTCTGCTTTGTTTCTGTGGGCCACTCCCCTGCCTCCTCCATTAAACTTAACTAGTAGAGCAGAAATCCTACCCTCCACCCCAACCCCAGAACAGCACTATGTCTGGCACCTACTAGATGCTCAGTAATTGTCTGCTGAATCAGTGGCCTGAGTTTTCATCTCTGTGACCTTGAGCATGTCATTTAACTTCCCTGGATGTCTGTTTCCTCAAACATGAAAAGAAGGTGAACTATGTGGGGGGCCCTTCATCTTCCTCCAGTTTGTCAAGAGCTCATCTTTAATGGTCTTGAGAGGGCTAAAGCTCTCCCTATTTCAACGGAGCATTACAAGCTGATGCATCCCCTCTACTACCAGGCAAACTCTTGATTTTCACTTTTTCTTTGGTTCATGGGCCTAAGCTCCAAAGCTACTCTTTTGCCTTCTGTTGTTTCTTGGCTCGAGGCCACGTTGAGTGACCTTGAGGAAGTTATATCACCACCTTCCCAAACTACGACTGGGATGAATGGGGAGCTAGTATTCAGAACTCTTGCAAGATCTGTAAACTACAGGTACCCATTGCTACATTCCTATACTTGAGTTATGCATATTTTATCTTCATGTTTTTTCCTTAGAGTTGATCCCTTCAACTCCTCAATCATTTCTGCTGCTTGTACTGAATTCCCTCAAGTCTAAAATTCTTTTCTCCTAGAGCTGCAGAAATCCAAACCAAACAGTATCCCAGATGCCACTTTCCACTCCAGCATTACAGGATTTACAGAGGGGGAGCAAGCATCTCGCTAATGGCTTTGCAGCATCAAGATTCCAACAGTCAACAACATTCACATTTCTGCTCTCATCTGGAGGTCAAAGCTTCTGGTTCTCCCAGCTTGTTATCCCAAATACTGATTATCCTACATCTGCTTTCTTGCTCACTGTCTCCGTGAGGTGTCTACCTACTGGGTCAAAGGGCTCAACACAGTATGATCACCTCTGAAATCAAATGGGGAAAACACATCTACCTTGCACATACATGGATATAAAGAGCAGTCCAATGGTACTCACCTGAATGTTAGTCAGCAAGCCATTAGAAATGAATCTAAATGAGGTAGGGCAGAGTTCAGTGAAAAGTCATGGGATAAAGGAAACACAAGGGGCCCGAGCTGATTAAAAAGATAATTAGTTGTGGAAAATAAGGCTGGGCTCCAGCCAAGAATTTGTCTTTGACAGAGAAACCAAAGGATCCAATACAGTCACATTGAGGGGATTGAGTTGTTCTTTTATAGGAGTTGAAGAGCCAGAATAAAGCAACGGTCAGTTTCAAAGTACAGCTCAACTTCCCCTCTGTTTGTAGTTCTGCTCATAAACATACAAGCTGTTTCCTTTCATCTGCACAGGCTCACACAATATGGAGAACCCACAATGGGTTTAAACCTGATTTATAAATGAATGTGCAGAGCAGTGGTCAAGTCAGAGATCTTTTGGCCTAAGAAAGGGTTTGAATGTGCTTGGCTGGAATTTAAAAAAAAAAAAAAGGAGGAAGCTTTTAAAGACCTTAAAGACGTAAAAACCCAGCAGCCTAACCAGTGATGAGGAAAAAAGGAACATTTCTTACCCAAATTGTTAAAACCCATAAAGGGGTTTGAGATGCCTAATAACAATGAAAAGAGGTTGAATCGCTATATGGGGAATGGGAAAAAATTTGCACAGATGGCCAGATATAGGGGGCTGAACCAGGGAAGGAAGAGTGGCAGGGTATGATGCCTAATACTCTATTTGGACCTGAAACTGCAACTCCCAAGGTTCTGTGAAACTACTTGCCTGAAATACTGTTTTGATAAATAAGCCATATCCTTGTGGAATTGAAATCTCCAACTGTTCCACTGGCACGGACATCTCTGCAGTGACAGCACATGCCCCAGATTGTGGAGTTAACTTGAATTAAATTTCAGATGTGGTGGAGCTAAGGGAGGGGGTGGTGGCAGTGGGAGGTTTATGAACAGTATGTTGGGGCTCTGACGTTGTCATAAGCAGATGGCTTCAACTGTATCATTTAAAACAAAAACAAACACATCTAGAAATAATGTAATAATGATAGGACAAGCACTGAGCAGCTTCACCTGTACTTGAAATCCTAATGGCTTTGTACGTACAATGAAACCTTCGTTGGCAATTCCATAAATACTGGGAAATCCCAGAAGAGACCTTTACCCTGCCGGAAGCTAGGGGCCAGGACTGCTGCCTTCCTGAAGGCATAGTCCCTGAACCCACTAGCTCCCAACCCACAGACTTCTGTGAATGAAGAGGAAACCCAATCTCAAGTCTGGTCTGTCCTCCTGGAAGCTCTGAAGAATAGGCTGGGAGAGGCACCTTTCCAGAGCTTTGTCTTTGCTATTCCCACAGAAAGGACACTTTACCTCAGATTACTTAAACATTTCAGGTATGGAATTTCCTTCATTAATTATATAATTTTTTCAGAACACATTAGAAGATCTGTTGCTCACTAGCTGTGTGGTCTTAGGCATGTCACTTGACTTTTCCAGGTTTCAACTTTTCTCATCTATAAAACAGGAAGATGCTAGCTATCACCTGTCCTACCAAACTTATCAAGTTGTTGGGAGGTTCAAATAAGATACTGTACATGTAGGTTTGCTGAAAACTCTGAACTGCTGAGCAAACACAGTTATCTGAAAGAAAATCTGGACAGACTTTGTGCACCCGCGGTCCTTGGATCTGTATGCTGCACTGGAAAGCAAAGATTCAGGAGGCATATGACAGGAGCCAGAACATGGAGAATTGGGCACTTCCTCACAAAGGTGACACTTAGGAGGAAACTGGGCAGTACAATGGAGTGGTTTCTAGTAAGTAGATCCTGCCTTTTATCATGCTGATCATAGATCATATCTATTCCATTCTAGGGGTGGCAAGATAGATGAAAATTAGGAAATCTGCAAAGACTAAAGTCCATTGAAGGGAAATAGAAGGTGAAATAGGTTAGGGCTCCATCTAAGGTCAAATAACACACCACCTTGGCAGATGGCTAATGCATTTTCCAGCATATTCCACTGCCCTGACCTGCCTAACGCTGCTATGAAAGGCAGATAAGCAGCCCCCGAGCATTCTTGTGGGCTCACTGGGAATTCAGACATTAACTTCTCTGGAAACGCACTGAGTTAGTAACAGAACCAGTCAGAAGCAATAATTTCCCTTTATTTAATCTCCACATTCGTGTTCCCTTGATCTTTTTATATTTGGTTAGGAGATGGGAGACTGGGGGTTGGTTCTTAAAACAGAGTATAGAAAAGCCCACTTTCATTACTTGCCTTGGCTGAGTACAGACCTGATGTCTTGTGAGATACTCAAAAAGGAGGACAAGAGACCAGAGCTCATAAAGGAAACTGTAGATTATGTCGACTGAATAGATCTCTACTGCTTAGCCATTTCAGATATAATCTCTGCAAGCTGAAGGATCAAACTAGCCTTCAAAATCCCTTCAAGCAAGGAACTCAGACAGAAGAAGACAAGCCAGGTAAACGAAACAAAAGACCAGAGATACCACACAGTACAAAATAGTAATTATTTATATTTTCAAAAAGAAAAAAATTAACATTTGGAAGTTCTCCCCTGTAGGAAGAGGGGCTAATCAGAAGGAACAGGACTGGCTCCTATGCAGGTGGCAAGTTAGGTACAAACAGCTGAGCAATCTGGGCTGGGATTTTTTTCACACAGCATTAATAAACAATAAAATTTCCTTTTCTTTTGTCTTCTTTTTTTGCTTGTTTGGTGTGTTTTTTGTTTTGTTTTGTTTTGTTTTTTTAGAAAAAAGGGTGGGGGGAAGGAGGAGAAATAAAAGCAGAGAAAAATGCCAAAAAACATTTTCCACAATATCTAAAAACAGAGAACCATAGTTCGTGTCAAGACAGTTTATGAATTCTGGATGAATTACTTTTTCCAGTTTTCAAGACCAATAAAGACTTTTGCAAAAGCCATCACATCAGAATACTCATCTTCCTGATCAAATAACCTCCTTCCCCCTTTTGCCTTCACTTGTCATTTCTCATAAAAGGAAAAAAGGGTATGTTCGGTTCTTGCAAACCTAAGTGCTAACAACGAGAGAGCTCTTCGGAAGAGTTGTATGGTGGTGAGGAGTTTTCACAAATATCGAAGTTTTAGCACAGCTGGAAGGACTAAAATTTGTTTCTCTCAACATAAATACTACTGGAATCCTCCACAAACTGATTTTTGAGAAATTCTGCAAAAATGCTTTCTTCTTTCCTTTTCTGTTCCCTCTTCTCTTAAAACTAAATGTCTTTTTTTTTTTTCCTTTTTGCTCCAGGCACCTGACGATTTGCTCTGCTCAGTCAGATGCAGACAGGTTTCTCCAAAGTACCACTGCTGGGATGTCCTCGGGGCCAGCGCCTACACTGAATCCCTAACAGGATCAAACTCGGCCAGGCCAAAGGGAACACAGTGACGCAGCAACAGGGTTTTTCATTAGGTTGAGCAGCCCTGAGTCCCGGGCCCTTCCCTCCCCCCACTTCCCCAAGTTATTTAGTGCTGTTTTAAAAGTCTGGTGCCACGATGCAGTCTTTTCCCCCCACAAGAGTAAAAGCTCTACAGATTGCGCTGTCTACCTGGTGGTCAGTGGCAGCAACAGTGGCTGCTGCTTCTGGAAAATAAACGGAGTCTTACAACAAGCAGGATCTTAGGATTGCTTCAGGCGTTTGCGTGGCGGTCCCAGAAAAGGGCACTGTGCTGAAGCCAGAGAGCGGTATGCCTCAGCTACCAAGTGGGGATGTGACACCACCATTGACTTCCACCCAGAGGTCTCCAAGACATCCGAAGCATGACTAGGAGAAATGCAGAGAGATGGTTACAAAATGGAGTGAGAAAACAATCCATTAAACAGCTACCTAGACAGCCTAACGTCCCAGTGTTTGGTATAAAGGGTGTCAATACAAGAAACACTCAGACAGAACCCTTAATATGCATGAGAATTGGCTTGCAGACTGTTGACCAGGCTGTGGCTGTTGTAACTCTGAAAACCAGGGCTTTGAGCTGCTCTACTCTCAAGTACAAAAGGTAGAATGTTCCTCAGGCTCTTCTCTACACTGTCAATGTTCTTTATATTCACTGGTGATACCAACAAAGACAAAGAGCAAGGGGTCCCTCAGTCAAACAGCTCTGGGCTTCCATCTGGCATTGCCATTTACGAGTCTGTGAGCACAGAGCAGATCATAGCCTGGGACTATTTAACGATCAAAAAGAGGAGATAACTACACTACACTGAACGGTTAACATCTAAAAAGCACCAAGCAAGTGTCCAGCACATAGCACGCACTCTATAGAACTAACATTTATTGGCCTCTTCCATTCCTCTTCTGCTTCAATTGGTAACTCCTTACACAAACAGACTTAAGGGACATTATTCCTTGTCTTGGGATTTTCTGTGTTGAATACTGTTCACTCATCTACCTGGCAATGTCTTAGATCTGTCTTCCTCCAGAATTGCTGTTCTGAGGACTTTACAAGGCCTGCTTCTCTCCCCGAGGTTTTTCCACCTTTGGTACAGTATGTTCCCCATCAGGCAAGAGTGTAGAACATGCCCCACTGAGAAGATGGGTTGTTATCACACTCCATCTTGGCCTGTTCAAATTATTTCAGAAGGGAATGTGGCTAAGTTGTCACTTAGGATAAAGGAACAGGTCTACTGGAATAAACATTTCTTTCTCAACATAGTATTTAACAATCTCAGCTACTGATTATCTCTTCTCTTTGCCCCATTCCATGATCGACTGTTAGATACATATTACTAACTCATAAAAAGACTTCTATTTCCCCAGAGACCTCTATGTCTTTTATTAAGCTAGTGAGTGTGAAGTAAAGATGCTATCATTTGGGGCATGCAGCTTTTTTAGGCCAGGAAGTTATTGTTTTAATCAGTTCAGATCACTACAAGGAAGTACAACACTTGGCTCACCAACAAGATTGACCCATGAAAGCAAAAACATTTTCCATACTGTCAAGCTGAAGGGAAAGATGAAAACTCTATACTAAAAGGTTAATGAAGCTACTCGCCTGGTTTGCTCACTAATTCAAAGTCTTTCTCGTTTCTCTAGCTATTGCAACTATCCTGAAAGAAAAACTTTGAAGATGCCAACTCACTAGTTGATGAAATCCACTGCCTGAGTTTTCAACTGATCTGCGCTGTGGAGGTCAGCCAGGATAAGAATTTCTGCCGCATTCTCCACGGAGAGGTTACTGCAGAGGGCATCCTCACACATGACCTTTAAACGCTCCAGGGCATACTGTAAAACATAAGCACGATCATCATCGTCAGAGCAGCAGTAGCTCTGGGCTGACTTCTGCTGCAATTGTTTTCAGTATATATCTATGTACCATCATATACCTGATATCTGAGCAGAAACGCACAGACCATGAAAAGGCTACTACTGCAACTGCAAAACATAACCATATATCTAAAGTCTAGGTGTTTAAGTTTAGAATGAAGACAGCTAAAATAACTTGGGTAGCTGCTATTCAAGTTCTAAAGTCTACCTATAGAAAAATGGCAATTATGGAGTAGACCTGTATCCTAAAGTTTATCCTATCTGCCGACTATGATTAAACTGTTTATTAAACCATCACCACCTACCCTTACAATGAGGCATTACTCTGCTTCACGTCAACAGGAAGATTACACTTTAAACTTCTGCAATCCTTTCATTTAGAGCCAGACTAGGGTGATGCACATTTCTTATTTCAACCCTTTCTACTTAAGCATTGTCACTAGCCCAGCAGGACAGTCCAACTGGTCCATCGGGCTGTGAAAAAGTGCCCTGTGGTGACTTTCACCAGCATCTCTGCCATTAGTTGCTCCTGAATGAGGGTCAGCCAAAGGCCTCCTTTTAAATAGAAGAGAATAAATGAAGTCCTATTTTACTGGGGTTGAGGTTAAGATTCTCAGGGTACAAGGACAAAGCAGCAGAGACCCCAATCCAGTTTCAGTTTAAAAACTTTCTATTTTCTAAGCAAAGGGTCTAAGTGTTCTGGAAAGGAAAGGTCTGGGTTAATGCTGTGCACATTTGATCTAGTTGATTGGTTTCAATGTAACAGTACTACTCGCTCTCTAAGATAAGAATATAAATTTACTAAATAACTTCAGGGACAAGGAGGAGGAAGGAAATAAAAGGAAACATAAAATAAAATGTGATTAATCCGTTCACAGGAGAATGGTTTGCTTTGAGGGTGCCCACAATCTTCTCGTAGATCCCATCTTAAGGGCCTCAGAACTCAATGACAAAATACCCCCTCCAGGCTGAACCATGGCAGTCAAACCAGGACAATTTTATTTTTATGAATTCTGGGTGAGGAGGCCTATCTGTTGGCACCCTAACTCCTGGAGCAAAAAAAGAGGTTTATTGGTTTGGGTGCAGCTTTAATTTTTTATATTTGAGTAATGGGAAAACAGTTTCCATGGAAAATAGGAATGACACTAGACAAGCCAAGAAATTAGGTTGCCGTTTTTGTTTTAAAACACTGGAAAAAGTTGAGTAAATGTTCAGTCTTTATACAGTGTTGCACAGAATATTCCTCTTATCCTTTCTCAATACATTCTTTTAAAAGGACTTTTACTGTGAATAGCTCTGATCCCTACTGCATAATTAGCCAAAAGTAGCCATTCTTGTTCCTTGGGGTACAAAGTTTTTTTCTTAATTATGCTTCTGAAAAACCTGCCTAATGGCAGTACTTACCCGAGAGATTGAAATTGTGTCTCCCAGGCCTGGCCAACGTGTTTTGTTTTGTTTTTGGTCTAATTACACACGTCCCCAGGAGACTGGAAAAGCTCAGAAGAAGCTGTTTCAAACTCTTGGGTAACTTCTAGATATTCAGATCCTTCCCTGAAAGACTTCTTATTCTGTTTTCCTAAAGCTCACAAGCAGGTGTAAAGGTAAAAATGTTTTCAAATAGGCTTGGAGCAAAGGCTGCCTAATGGGAAATTCTGAATGGAATTTGAAAATGTATCCTTCAGTTACTTTTCATTCATAAATTTAAAGCACTGCTAGGATTCAACTGTTCTATCTTTTAAAAACGTAAATTCCACATGATACTGAAGACACCATCCTTGGAAGGGCAATTCAGGCTGATCCCCACGCCCTGTGTACTTACAGGTAAGTTGGTTCCCTGGCTTAGGAGCAAGAATGAAAACCCAGGGACACAGAAGTCTAACTGAGGCTACTCCAGTGCCACAACATACAACTCTGAGCCGTAATATTTTTGTCTAAAAAGTGGACCTTGCAACGTTACTCATCCTTATAGGATAATCTAGAAGATAAGGGGCATAAATGCCCGTACATAAAAGCACAAGTAACCACTTCACTGAAAATCAGAGGGCATATATGGCAGAATCATTATAAATTCATGTTAATAAAGAACTAGGCATTGGGTTGTGTCTTCTACTTCCCGGGAGCTCCTCATGAATATTTTCTTACTGTCTTCACTGAAAGCAAGTTTCCTCTGGTCTCAACTGAGGTAGACTGAAAGAGTATGGAATGCCCACATTATTTAACTGTACTAATAAAGTCTTGAAAGGCACTAAAAAGGATACAGCTATCATTCCATTCCTCTTCATCAGTAGCATTAATTGGGTTTGTATGCCCCTCCCTATATAAACACTCCAAAAAGTTCATCAATAAATATAAAATCTCCACGTATAAACAGAGGTCACAGGCACTTCCCTCTGTTGGCAAGGGTACAAAGGGAGGTGAAGAAGATGATGCCCAAGAGCAAACGGCGGGAGGGCTCTGGTGCCCTTAGGCGATAGCCAGCGTTTCCCTCAGATGGGTGCTGCAGCATCACAGCAGGATGAGGAAGCACTTCCAGCAGAGAAGCATCTTTCTCACAGGGTGTAATGCTGGGAAGGGTTATTTAAGCCCTTCAATATCCTTGCCTCAACCCCATTCCCAACACAGGAAAAGCTTCCACAAGGGCAAATCTCCCCTTTCTTCCCCTGCCTCCCACCCCCATTGTGTTTCCACAGACACATGGCCTTGGAAGGAGGGCAAGCCACCAACAAACGTTAAGTTTCCCAAAGTATGTTTGCGGAGCACTAATTCCCGGAGGTGATCCTTGAGAAAAAGGATTCCAGAGTTAACTAAATTGGCGAAATGCTCTCTATCGTATTCCCGTTTAGAAAACTCACAGTCCTTATTAACATAGTAAAGATTCTGAGAAACCAAAACCCCTATTTGACTTGGTTTGGTTAAACTCAGTGTTTCACAAACCTCTCCCTGCAACCTAATACCTAATGATATTTCACCTTATATTAAGAATCATTGGCTTATTTATTGTTTTATGTAAACACCTTATTCCCTTGATTCTAAAAGTCACATTTATATTTTTACACTTTAACATTTCTGAAACTGAAATGTCTCACAAAGTATACATTTACTATAGTATTATCTTTCCCCCTGCCCCAAGAGCTATTAATCAATTATTTTATAATTTTGAAGAAATAAGGTATATCTCAGATAAAAGTTGAAAATGCTAACCAGGACACTGGCTAAAATATTATTCTCTTATTTATAAAGTTTAAATAAGTTAATGACCTCAAAAACATTTTATAAATTATAAAGCATGATCCAAATGTTACCATTATCTGAATCTTTACTTTCACTGTAGTTACATTTGAGATGAGGAAGAAAAGAGAGGTAAACCTCCAAATTATCCTCCTTTTCCATAGTTAGGTGACCATATAATTTACCATACAAAGCAAGGTTTTGAGAATAAGAAAGGTTTACAACAAGTGTAAACCAGGATTGTCCTGGCCAAATTAGGATATATGCTCACCATATCCACATGCAACACAGAAGCCAGGTGGTCGTGAAACTCAAAAGATCACACTAACCCCTAGTCCCATAAATACTGTTCAATTCTTCTCTTACCTTGTCAGCAGCTGCCAGTAGATCATCAGCCATTTTGTCAAGGTTTGGTGCCTTCCCCGTATAAATGAAGCACATCATTTCCTTAAAAACTTCAGGTTCCACATCATTGATTTCAACTCGATTCTATGCCAGAAAAAATGAAAATGAGAAATATTCCAACAGAGCAAAATCCCTAAACTGTTTTCATGATTTTTAAGCTCTGGTGAGGCTTAGATCATTTAAAACCTAACATGGATGGAAAATTTCTCTTTGCCCTATTTGATCGTTTTCTCAAATATAACAGCAAAACAACTGTATCTTTAATTTTTCACCTTTCTTTTCTGGAATTTTCTGAGCAGAAATGCATGTCTGATACCCTTACCCAAAACTGTTTTAGATGACAGGCCCAGGGATTAAGTGAGCCCACTTAACCTAGAATTTGTCCAGACCACCTCTCTCTGCTCCCAGAAGTATCTGTTCAGGGAACTGTACTCCATTTTAATAACACACTGAGAAAAATATAATTAGGAAAATAAATCAGCTGCCAAACTGGCAAGTCATCTGAATCCGGTCACCTGGCTAAAAAGACATGTCTCCATATTACATACCTTTTTGCTCTCCTCCATTTCATGTTCAAACATAGCACTAAAAACTGGAGAACGAGCTACAAAATGAAAGGAGAACAGAAACAGATACAGTTATCACACTGAAATCTTTTGGTTCTTCCAAATTATACTGTTATGATGAGGCACCGGTAATTTTTTTTTTTCCTGCCCTCTTTCTACAGGAAAGGGTCTCATCCTCAAATTACTACCAGAATTATAAAATTCCTTTTTTCTTATATTACCAATAAGTGAATAATTATAATGCTTAAAGGAAAAACAAACACTACTTTTAAAATAATTTTCTATTGGCTCTATCTCAACAATTCATATTTCAAGGAAATTACTCAAATCACCTATATGTTGAATGACAATTCTGTATCCTCTGAGTAGATTCGGGGATTCAAATGCAAGGTCCTTCATAGTCTAGGCAGTGTGTCCTAATACCTGGGCTTTTTCCTGGAATGCTGACACCATACTTTTTCTGCCTTCAGAGACCATATGACAAGGAGGCCAAGACCTGGGCTCAGTGGTACCCATTATCTAGATAAAGTGCACGCTTGTTTATGAAGACCATCTGTTATTCTAGACATGTGTTCTCAACGAAGGTGGTATCATCCCCAAAGGGGAGAAAAAAATCTTAGATATTACGATGGTTTGTGGACTTCCAAAGTTCAACCCTACCTAACAAAATCTTACTGCTTCGTATTTATTTCTCTCACTAGGGAGAATTTAAATTTAGTTTTTCTCCTTAGGGGGATGATAATGAAAAAGGTTGAGAAACATTGCTCTAAGCCATGTCCGTTTTAGTCTAATGAACACTATGAAAAACAACTAAGCTTAATTTTAACCATAAAAGAAATAAAATGGTTAGAAACTCAAAAATTTTCATGTTGTCCAACAAATCAAGGGTTTGGCTGAAAGTTGAGACTACTGACCTCTACCTAGGAGTGGAGGAACAGATGGAATATGCACTAAGGCTTTGAGCCAACTGGGATTTTTGGCCTGTAGTTTATGTCAGTTTATTTTAGCTCTGCCATTTTCTAACCATGTATTCTGGGGCTAATCACTTAACCCTTTAAGCCTTGATATTTTAATCCATACTAAAAAGATACTCTCATTGTTCCTATCTTGGAAAGTTTATAGAACATAAGGCACTCAATATAATACAGAAGTTGAAGACTAAAGGGCTAGTACTTTAGTTAACAAAGATGGAAGGATTCAAAACAGCAGATATTTCTTAGGGGGTCATTGGTAATTGACAGCAGTTGATGCTATGGGAATAAATAAAATCCCCCAGGGAGAAAATGTAGAGTGAAAAGAGAACTGAAGCAGAGCCATAGGGGACACCAATCTTTAAAGGGATAGATGAAGAAACGGGAGGCCAGACATCAGAAGTAGTCAGAGAACTAGGAGAAAACCAGGAAGAGAAGTCAAGTAATGCATGAACTAAACAGTCTCTCAAATTTAGGAACTAGCAGGTCATGTAACTTTGGAAAAGTACTTTAGTGGCATGAAGGTGAACTGAGGATAAGTGGGAGGAAGGAAGTAGAAGACAGTGAATGTGTTAACTCAAGAAACTTAGCTCTAAAAGAATAACTAGAAGGAGAAGTTTCAACCTGCTTACAGGCTGAGGGTGAAGAGGCAATAAGAAGGATACTCGATAACAAGGGTGTAACTGGTAGAGTAAGACTTCTGAGAAGGCAGGATGAGATATGAAACATAAGTAGAAAAACAAACAGTTTGCTTTGGACACAAGGAAAACACCTCTTCCCCTGAGAACACTGGGAAAATGCAGGTAAGGCAAGAGGCAAGAGGGAGCTCCTATAGAGGAGCTTCTATTTTCTCTCGGAAATAGTGGGCAAGGTCATTTTTTAGGAGTTGGAGATGGGGGTTAAAGAAAAGTGGTAAAGGTTGGAGATACCTATTGTAGAAAAAAAGGGAGTTGACTATATAAAATCTGTAAAAAAGTGTACTGACAGTATTGAGGCCTACCTAAGTCTAAAGACACTAATCTAGAGAGTTAACGACATCCTTTAGCATTACACAGTAGTGCCTGGTTAAGAGAGGGACAGGAAGATGGTTAGAGTGCACCAGATTGGGGTTTTGCCAGGTGTGTATTTTAGAATGACACAGCTGAGGGTCTTGGTAAGAAATCTGTTGCCCTGAAGGTTCATGCAGTCTCCTCTTGTGTCTATGGTCTGAATGGAATTTGTGGCTGACTGCTATCCTTTCATCTAAGGTAAAGTCAATCCTTCCTTATCACTTCCCTCCTCTGTGTCAGTCTTCCTGGTTTTAAAGACCGAGGGCGTATTAGAACAAGACCTGATGATCCTCCATGTTAGCAGCTACATTCTCATTTTTTCTAGTGCGTTTGCATCAAAGAGAAGGCCAAGTTGTCCAAGGCTGGGGACTTAGCTTGGTGAGTTAGTCCTGAATGTGGACTCCTCTCCATTTACATCCTAAACCCCTGTCTGGGGTCTCGAATATGTGTCCTGATACCTGCTCCTGACCAGTGTTTTGACATCTACCCTCTAGGCGCAAAGGCATTTGATACCACATCATCATTCATTCCTCGAAAATAGCGGTCTAGTCCACCACAGAGAGGAAAAACAGAACATTTTTATGGAGAGCAGTCTTTTTTTGGTTATAATAACTAATGTCATGATAATATATTCAGTTGCAGTTTTTTTGTAGCTGAGTTCAAAAAGGTTGAAGTTATTCAAAAGGTGACTATACAGCCACTTGGTTACTCCTTGTTTCACCAAAACTGAAGCTCTCCACGAATAAATACCCACCTGCTAAGATAGCTTTGTGAGCCTGGAATTCCTGGCCAGCAACACATAAACAACAGTCTGTGAACCGGGAATTCTCCCACAGTCCTCCTAATTCATCTGCCAACCGGCATTCAGGGACTTTCACCATATTCATGGTATTCTGGCCAGAAATGTTGACAGAGTCTTGTACCACACTCACCTGTGAGAGATAAGGAAACAAAGACCAACGCTTTTGTTACAAGGAATTTTCTTTCCAGCAGGACTAGAGATGAAAGGCTTTCTACTTAACTTTTACCTCGTTGCTATAGTACATTCACATACTAATATGTTAGTCATATTCTCTTGAAACCACCTCCACAAAGCAAGGCTCTCTACCCTCTGGATCAAATAATTTCCAATCTATCCCAATCATATTTATTCGACACTATCTCAGAACATGGGGAGAGAGTCCCCACAAACCTCCTTCTCCTCTAGCTTCTAGTAAGTTCCACCTCCCCTGCCCTGCAAACCTGGGCAAAGAAGCCCAAGAAGGAGGAAAAAAACTGACAGAAACAAGTGTTAAACCTCAAGTACTTACCTTATTCTGCCTTAAGCAAAAGGTTAAAGACAAAGAACTCCTAAACAAACCACCATTTAAATGAAACTCTCTAGGGAAAAGACTGGACTAACTTAAGCCTAAAAACACTTCACTTATTTCAGTTAGATCTGGAACTTCAAAACAAAGTAGTTTCTATAGGGTCTGGTAAATAACTGGCACTTCAAATTTGTTTGTTTAGTGAGCAGCCATCTAAGATAGAACTATTGGTCTCTTCTCGTCCAGAGCAAAGGAGAGTGAAGAAAACCAGATTCAAGGGACTAACAGACAACAAGAACTACAGCCTACAGGACCCCATGACCAGAAGACCTAGATGGTGCCTGGCTACCACTATGACTGCTCTTATGGGGATCACAACAGAGGGTCCTGGACAAAGCAGGAGAAAAACTGTAGGACAAAAAATCAAATTCATAAAAAAGACCACTTACTGGTCTGACAGAGGCTGGAGGAACCCCCGAGACTAAGGCCCTCAGACACTCTTCTGAACTAGAACTGAAACCATGCCTGGAGAGTACGTTTCAGTCAAACCATAGACAAAATAACCCATAATATAAGCAATAACACCAGAGAGGAACGTGTTCCTTAGAACAATCAATTATATGAGATCAAAAGGGCAACATTTGTCCAAAAGCAAAGATGAAAAGGCAGGACGGGGTAGAAAATCAAGATGAAAGGAAACAGGGAACCTAGGACGGAAATGGGGAGAGGGCTGACACATTGAGGGGAATGAAACCAATGTCATGGAACACTTTATGTACAAACTATCAAATGGGAAACTAATTTGCTTTGTAAATGTTCACCTACTGCACAATAAAAAATTGGAAAACAAAAAAAACCTGTTAGTTTAATGAACATGACACTATTGATCCACTATCAGCAAGGACTGTGCTTGGAAGATCTTTCCAGTAATAATAACTGGGTGGGTATCCCATACCATTTACACTCTTATTCAGTCACTTGTGACAATGACATACAAGATGGCTGGCTGCAGCCGGAGGTGCACTTGTAGCTTCAGAACAGAATAGTGACGATGGATTTATAGAGGAATCCAAGCCTTCCACTATGGCTTCAGCAGCAACCTGTTTTAACCAATTGGATTAACTGTTCTGACTAGATAAAACCAAGGTAACTTCTAGATGGGTCAGTAAAACTCAAATAAATTGGTTAGGATACCAAATACAAGGATTTATAAATCATATATCATTATAAAATGAATGTAAGTTACCAAACTGAAGACATGACCCTGCAGGCCAGTCCTCCACCTACAATCATTGGCAGGCTTCAACTCCTACATCACATTAGGTTAAAAGTACTTAAATCAAAGCAGAACTTACAAATCTTGAGTATCAGCTCCCTACTCTTGCTATTGCTAAGAGTTAGATGAGAATGACAGCTCAAGAACATCCTAAATGATCCAAATTTCTTTTAACCTTCAAGATACAAGTCATCTCTTAAACACAGTCATAAACCCAGAGCCTAAGTTAATGCTCCATCCAAATGACAAGAGTTCCCTCTGCAGGAGTGAGATATTAACCATCAGGTTAGGAAATCTATTCATTTGTTTGAAACTAGCCATTACGGTACTGACCAATGAAACAGTCAAGTTAATCAATTATGAATGTGCCTAGTATTAATAGCACATTTATCAGAGCCAGATTATAACAGTGATAGTCCAGGACCCAGCACAAACCACTCCAGAGAGTCCCTCTTGTCCTGTGTAAGACCTGTAATTTGGCCCAGCCACTTTCTCATATTAACACTCTCACTTCTTGGACATAACATTAACACCAAAGGTAGAAGTCTCCTGTTTCCAGTTATAGCTACAAAATACTGATTAAAAAAATAGAAAAGACCAATTAAATCCAACTTTCTCACAGGGAAAGGCAGGAATCTCCTGGGATGGCCAGTGAAGGGAATGGAGAATGCTTTTGGCACTGGCTTCCTAGCTTGAATTAAACCAAGTTGACAGAAGCCCAAAGTCATTAACGCACTTGATGGCAATTTAGTAGACTGGGTAAAATGAATTGGCAAGAGCTAAGCTGGATTTTACATAATCAAACTATGGTTACCACTGGCCCCTCTGCTGGTTAGAAGCACACCTGGTAGTGAGTGGGGCCCGAAGACTGTGCCTCCTGTCACTGGAGTAATTCCTCTCGTTAGACACAGATAGGAACACAGCAGGAAGGAGAATGTACCTTTACTGTCTGAGCCAGGCTTATTCTGTAGATATACAGATGCCTGAAGTCTCAGAATGCCAAAGCTCTGAATGTCTGGAATCTCTTACCAACATTAAATACGCTTAATTAAAAATAAATTTTAAACAGCATTCACAAATGAGTCTTCAGAGCCCAAATGTTTAACTTAGAAAGGGACTGTTTTCCCGTGCAAATGATGATACTAAAATGAGACCATTTTGAGAAAAACTAAAGATATTTTTTTAATGCTAAAAGTTGACTATGGTGACTCAGAAATACGGCTGTGAAGATGACGTGACTGTGACATTTACGTCATCTTATAAATGACTGCGTGAAAATGCCTCAGAAAGACCGTATAACCCCCTGAATTTCAAGTTGTTAAGAGGGTCTCACTTTTAAAGTCAATTCTTTTTCTTAAAAAAGAAAATTTCATTAAAGACTAAAGATTGTGCCAGTTCTTATACATTTTTTCTAAACATAAAAAGTCAAAGTAAACCCAATGGAAGTATGTATTTTTTAACTTCTACATAATTGACACAATCAAGAAACAAACATAAACTCTGCATATAGATTATGTATAGCAGCACTATTTCTAATAGCAAAAGACTAGCAACAATCCAAATGTTCATCAACAGGAGAATAAATAAATAAACAATCACACAACAGACTAATATACAACACTAAAAATGAATGAACTATAGTTATATCCACAACATAAATTTTAGAAACATAATGTGAAAGAAACAAGTCGCAGACAACTACATACATACTACTGCTACACGACACCATTTTTACAAAGCTCAAAAACAAGCAAACTTAAAGAACATGCTGTTTAGGCATATAAATAATAAACAAGGGGATGATAACACAATTCAAAACAGCTATTTATCATTCTCTGAGTGGGGAGACAACAGGTCTAAGGGATAGGAGAGAAGCACACAGATGTTAGTTCCGAGCTATTGGTGATGTATTCTTTTTCTAGAGTTGGATGGTAGGTTTACTACATTATCATGCTTTTATGTAATTATAATGTTACATATTAAATTATCATTTTAATAGATCAATAATAATCAAATATTGGCACTTGCATACAGTTCAACCTAATATATCCAAATAATCCAAATTGAAAAAAAAGAAAATATGAATAGACCTACTTGTTTAAAATTTGGTAAAAATACATATCCTTAAGCTATGAAGGGATATTCTGTTTCAGGAGGGAAGGGATGTTGTCAAAGAGTTAATTAGTGTTTGGGAAGAAGGGTATTTCCCAGATTTCAACTTCAACTGCAACATCACAAAGAGGCACTGGAATCTTCTACCTGTCAAAGGCATACCCAGTGAAGGTGGAATACATGCATCCTCATCACTAAGAGTTGCTTGTTTTATAGAAATACTTGGAGAGAAGGGTCAAAAGAAGCTGAAACATTTCATGAAGATCTTCTATGGTTCATATTATGAGAGAGGCAATTAAAAGTGCACTTTAAACATGCTTGCTATCTCCCTCGCCCATTACCAAAGTAAATGCTGTCTGTCAAGAAAACCTGGTAGCGCCTATGCTTCCTTAGGTGAATGGCAGTCAGCTCCACTTACGGTAACGCAGCAAAAAGAGATGGAAAATGGAGAGCCGACATGGCCCTGACACTCATTTGCTGCACAGTGTTAGGAAGAATTACCTGACCTCCCCAGGCACTGCTTCTCTCTCCTGTAACATGAAAGTAACAGAATTAAACTAGCTCAAAGGATTGTGATAAGGGACAATTCAGAGAATGCTTTGAAAATGTTTCCAAATAAGTTAACTGAGCAATATCAAGTTGGAATAATTGGCACATTTTCTAGTGGACAAAAACATCATCATTTTATTTTATCACTGAGAACTGAAAGTAAACGCAGTGCAGCACATTACAGATAAGACCATCCATTTGACATTTTCGGAGTTTACAACCTAATTTCATTTAAACATTCATTAACAGTAATACCACTGAAATAAAGCCCAAACACACAAATGTGTGACTCTCAGCCTTTCACCTTAGCATTTCCTCATGTGGCCTTTGGGAACAGCAAAAAACAAACAAACAAACAAACAAAATCTACAAAGCAACTGTACTTATTGCATCAGGATAGGACAGGAGTACCTGAGCCAAAGACTAAGAGAGGAATAGGGTAGTGGGGTCTGATACTCGTAACCTAAATTGGTATGGAGACATCAACTTCACAAAAGCCTCTAAATAATAAGAAAATACTAATTAAACCAATAATAAACACAATGTAAGTATGAACTAAAATAAATTTGTTTATAAGTATCCCATTGATGGAGGGAAAACAACAGGTCAAAGGGATAGAATTTGGAACAAAGGATGATCTAGCTATGAAAAGTACTAAGAACTCAGATGATCTGCAGACATTTTTAAAACCCACACATCCAATACACAACCGTCTTGCAATGCTGAATGCTACTAAGTCCACAGAGAGCCTTGGAACAGAAACGAGTCTCACTAGGCACAAGCCCAAGAATGAGAAGCAACACTCAGCACCTGTGGCCAACACAGAAGTGTGAGAGGAACAGATGGCACACCTGGTTCGATGGTAAAAAAACGATGGCATCAGCAGAATGCAGCAGACGTTTCTCTGTTCAACATCTCCTCATTTCCAAAGTGTCATCTCACTTCCCTTCTAAGTCAGTAAGGCAAATCTAAATTTAACCACAGGACTTTTCCTGAGAGAATTTCATATGGGGAAGCGGAGGCAGAGAGAGCTGGAACTAGGCCTTGGACTTAACCACAGGATAAGAGATTGCCAAGTGAGGGGCAGGCCAATTGGGGTCCAAATCAAGAATGTCAATACAGGGGTGGGAGAAGCTAGAATGGACTTGGGAGGGAACATATGAGAACGGAATCAACTCAAGAGCAACGGGTATGTGAGAAAAGGCTGGACTCATGGTGGATGCAAAAATGTTGCAATAAAGGTTATGGCATTGCCTAACGCAGCAAATGCAAAAAAGGGGAATAGGAGCAATATCTAGAGAAGAGTTCCTTCAGAGAACAGTCTGAAGATTGGCTTTCGGTTCCAATAGAAATGAGCATTTTCCACAATTTTAAGTCTTTCTGAAATACAGGTCTCTATGATAGTTAGATTAAAACTGATGGTCTGGGCCAATTATATTAATAGCTAACCCCACACTAAACCACCTAATTGTTCTCCTTTCTCCACTTGGGCAGCTGAGTATGATCTGCAACCAGCCGGACTTAATATGGAATTCAAATTTCAAGTTCATCAGATATAAAACAACTGCAACATTCAGATACAGATGCCCTCACTCTAGTATTTCCTTTTTTTACTAAGCAATTAAAAAGGAAGCTATTAAGCACACCATATTTTATGTATTCAGTATGCTATTTTAATAAACCATGTCTCCCAAGTTTTCTAATCATCAGCTACTATTCTGTTGAAATACTCAGTGAGCTGTGACTCGGAAAAGAAGGCAGCTACTGCTGGCCAAGCCTCTTCTGCAGAAAAGCAAGGTTCCTATGGCACACCTTTCCCTGCTGCACTGGGGTGATATGCCTTTGGCACTGTCACTAATTCATAGTGTGAGCCTACTAGTTCACAGGGCACACTCTTCCCTGGTAGCTGGGAAACTTGCCTACACTCTGCCCTGTGAAAGTTCAGTGACTAGTCTCACCAAGTAGGGCTGCTCAGAAAGTGATTCCCCAACCATATGATGTACAGGGAACACTAATATTCCAACTGGCTGGAGGTTTTATTCATTTATTACACTGTGAGCTTATTAAGTATTTATAAATGTATTGATAACAGCATGACTAAATGACTGATTATATATACTCATTAAAGAAACCACTTTCTAACTCACCATCAGCTTGGGAATTTTACTTCAGGGATTCTCCTGTAAACCTGGGAAAGGCTCTTAGGTCCTTGGTGAGAGGAGGACTCTCTTAGCTGACCACGGCTGACTCTCCTAGCTAACTATGGCTTATGAAGCTTGGCATAGCTTTGACTCTTAAGAAAATGATTCTCACTTTCCTATTTCACAATTACTCCAGTAAGACAAACTGTAGGCACTCAATTCCTAAAAAGTGCCGTCTATTTCAAAAGGCAGAAGAGGAAAGTGATCCACAATCAAACATACATGGACTTCATACTAAAGGAGGAGCCAGAAAGTATAAGGAACAAATACACATATCTAGTTCTGGCCATTCTCTTCAGCTTGAGATGACAGTCCTTATAAATGCTATCTGAAAACATCCACAGTGAAAAAGCCAGAATCCTGACCCAGGCAACCCAACACTCACACATACCAAGATAGCACACAATCTTTGTTTTTAAGAACAGTAACAAGTAAGAAAGCTGAGATGCCCAACAACTTTGAAATCATGAGGCAGTTTTCAATCCATCACATAAATAACATTTGTGCAGTACAACCCCACTTGAGGATTTTTCTCACTCTCCATCCCTGATACAATAAAATTAAATCTACCAATACCCATCAGGTCTGGGAATTGCCAGTCTCACAGCGGGGTGAAAGGACTCACCTCACAGAAGAGGGTAAGCTTGTCATCAGGGAGAAGCCCGTTGGCCTCATCCAGGAGAAAATCTCTACGGATGAATTTTTTAAATCCCCAGTCCTTGCCTTGCACAAATCTGTATGCCCGTTGACTCTCTGGGGTGAAAAGAAAAAAACAAGTCATATTTAAGGCTACTCAAAAACCAGATCAAATCCACAACTTGTCTGTGTTTGTAGCTGCTAGATGTGAAAGTAAACAGCCAAACAGGAAGGAGAACATTTTTTTTTTTTTTCCCATACAAAAATTTATACATTGTTCTGTGACTCTAATTGCTCTCCCCATACTGTGACAGCACACTCCTCCTTTCCACCCTTGATTCCCCATGTCCATTCAACCAGCTCCTGACCCTCTCTGCCTTCCCATCTCACCTCCGGACAGAAGCTGCCCGTTTAGTCTCTTGTATCTACTTGAGCTAAGAGGCACACTCCTCACGAGTATCACTTTATGTCCCACAGTTCAGTCCAATCCCTGTCTGAAGAGTTGGCATAGGAAACTGTTTTAGTTCTGGGCTGATAGAGAATCCAGGGGTCGTGCTTTCCGGGGTTCCTCCAGTCTCAGTCAGACCATTAAGTCTGGTCTTCTTACTAGAATTTGAGTTCTGCACCCCACCTTTCAGGAAGGAGAATATTTACCCATAGCTTTGGTTTCTTCTCCCTTGGCATTCAGGATGGAGAATTTGAATTTTGCCCGAACTTCACTCTTTGGACAGCTGACCAGTAACAGGTAAAGTGACAGGTAATCTTTGCTTTCTTCATCTAGCCCTTTTGGGTTTACTCGCAAACACCTGCCCATAACAAATAAGAAGAAAAAAAAAAGAGTATTGAAAGCATCCATGTTTTATAGGCTCTTGAAGTGACAGCATGAAACTGGAACATGAGAATCATTAGAGAGAGATGTTTTAAAAAAAAAATTCTAGTCCCCATACCTGCAGATTCTGATTCAGTAGAATGACACTTGAGAACCACTTTTCGAGTCACCCTTTAAAAAGTAAACAACAAAAATAAAGGGGCATTCTAGAATCCCTTAAATCTCTTTTTCTTTCCCTCATAATCTCCCAAGTCACCTTCTTTTTTCCTTAAAATATTTTAAAATTCCATCTAGTCTTGCTCTATTCTAATCCTCAATCTCAGAGAGAGAGAGAGAAAAAACCTCATGGCCTCATAAGCAACCCTATAGGACAGAGTAAAACTGCCCCAGAGGGTTTCCAAAGAGCAGATTGTGGATTCAAACTGCCAACCTTTTGGTTCACAGCCAAGCTCTTAACCACTGCGGCACCAGGGCTCCAATCTCAGAGAAAGCGGCTCTAATTTTGTTGGGACTATGGACAAACCATGGGGAGAAAACAAATCTCACGCGAGCCCCTTAATAACACCTTGGGAGAGAAAAGTATTCTAAAGTAGTATGTGAATGGTACACAATGTTTTACAACATAGCCATAACATTTTAAGATTAAAGGAGACAGTATAGAGAAAGTACAGACAATACACAAGGCAGAGTTCTAAGCTAGGCTTCTAAAGAGGGTGAGAGATGCCAATCTGATACCGATGGATCAAAACAAAATTCAGACAGAATTTAATAAATTCAGCTGAGTAAGGTATAAATGTCATTAATTGAACTGCATGTGGTTCAGATACTGCTTTCCACCACATACACATAGGCCATATGTATCCTTAAGCCTTGCCAGGCTTATGGCACCTCTCTCAAACAGGTGTCAATCCATTGCCTCTCTAGGGAGTGTATATGCCTCAAAGATCACTACACACTGTGCGAAGGATGTGGATTTAAATACAATGACTAGAATAAGCATTTCTCTCAGCACTTAATGTACATAGCCAACAAATACTAAATGAATAAATAACTCTTCAGTGGGTTATCAAAGGTCAAAAACTGGTGGTTCATAGGATTTTTAGTCCTTGCAGTGGGCACACAGTTGTCTCTTTAACTGCTTCTCCTCCTCAAGAAGACATGTGGTTTGGATGAGACTGACTCCCATCCCCAGATCACATTCCCCTTGTCACGGGGATTATTTCAGGGAACCCACGCCTAAACCAATCAGTGCAGGTATGACTTATCTTTGACGAAAGAATTAGTTCAGAGGAAGATCAATGGCTTTTGTTGGATGGCACATGTGAATGGATGGTAGTATGCTTATGCCCATTGCTACTGCCATCCATCCTTCAACCACAAGGGAAACTAGACCTAAGACAGCCAATAATGTTAAGAGATGGGCAGAGCAGAGAGACATGGGCTCCTTAATCTAACCACCAGGTTGTTGGATCAAATTACCTTCAAAGCTCATGAGCAAATAAATCCCCTTTGTTGTTCAAAAAAAAAGAAAAGAAAAGATTATTTAAAAGTCAAAAGAGTTTATGTTAAAACGTAGGTTTCCTTTTGGAAACAGAGTAGTGATGGTTGCACAACATGTGAATGTAATTAATGTTACAGGACTGATTAAAATGGCAAATGTTTTGTTATATATATTTTACCACAACAAAAAAATAAATAAAACTATATTTCTTGCTTTTCTTGAAAAGTCAAAAATTGGATAATGGTTAGCCCTTATTCCTGCATGGCTATAACCAGCTGGAGCTGAGCAGCCACACCCCATTTAGAAGAACATGCACTGGGCAGTCTGCCAAGTAATCACCACTCACACCATCTATAGCTATCATTTATAACACTGGGCCACTTTCCTCATTTATATTACCCTAGAGCCAGTTGAGTTTGCTGATCCCTGATATACTCATTGAATTAATTCAACAAATACTTACTGAGCACCTAATATGTGTCAGGCACTGTTCTAGGCACTGAAGAACAAAACAAAGTCCCTGCCTTCACAGGGCTTACATTCTAGTCAATGTCTGTAATACTAAGAAAACAGGCAACTTTTAGAAAAATTTTTACAGCTAGATATATTCTTCCTCACCATTTCAGTTTATCATTGGCTCCTGATGAAAAGGTTGAACTTTTAATGACTTCACCCATTTCCTCCCGGCAAAAGCTAAAGTTATTGATGGTCCACATGTAGGAGAATTTCACTACCTTGATCTGTTGACAGAAAACCAGGAAGCAATTAAATAGGAAGTGGGCTGAAGATCAGATAACCATTTCCCCTCCCTCCCTCTGCATAATCCCCACAGGAAAAGCAGGAAGCTCAGCTTTTTCTAGTCTCAGGTTCCTCCATCCACCTTAAGAAATCTCACACTGACCAACTGCTTTTATAACTTGATCGAGTTCCTGAAACACTGGATGGAAAGTAAGAAAAACATGGACAGAGTTGCGAAAGCAGATGATAAAACCATACTAAAATTAGCCTCTTTGCTTGATGCAGTGTCTGGCAATTGAGGTGCTGATGCCACTGCCTAGGGCTGCAAATCTCAAGTTTGGTTTCCCATTGACTTGCCCAACAGACAACCATCGAACACATTTCCATCAAGGGGGTGTAGGCTGATCAAGTTTCAAAGATTCCCCTTTCAACCTCCTTTGAAAAACACTGGCCTAAAAGTACCTTATTTATCTGCTATTTAGAAGCTACATCCCAAAGAAAGCAGGAAAGTCAATGCAGAAAAGAAATCCATATTCCTGTCATCCACCAAATCCTCCCAAGATCAAGATTTACAGGGTGAAAACCTGAACTTACCTGTGTGTAGCACCAGCTCTCAGCTACAGGGCCACTCGACATTTCTGCCGGAGGTGGAGGACTTGGAACCCTTGACATCGCCAGTTTGAAGGTTACACGAGATTGCCAAAGTCAGGGGGCAAAGATCTCTGTTTTCTCTTCACCCTGGTCAGACACAAGAAGCAAGAAGACTTTACTAGATTGATAGTACACTATCTTACTATTTATGTTTGGTCTTCCAAAGACTGGAAACTTTGTCTGCTATCTGAAATGCTCTACCCTGATCATTCAAATGGCCCCTTACCATTCAAGTCCCAAATTTAAATGTTATCTCAGACAAGTCCACCTAATCTAGTCTCCTAGTCACAATTATATCACCCTATTTTTATCCTCTGCACAATACTTAATATTATCTTAACCAAAAGAATTCAATCAAAAGGCATATAAATTACATCTTGAAAAGGATGCCTGAAAAGGAGACAGCAAAGTTAACATCAGACACACCCTTGACACTGCCTCCCTTCTCTTGGGGCACAAATACTCCACTCCTAAAGGAAAATGACCTTGTTATACCTCCAGCTACTAGCTTCTCCTATATTCCAAAGAACCAAACCAAACTCGTTGCCATCAAGTAGATTCCAACTTACAATGATCCTATAGGACACAGGAGAATTGCTCCATAGGATTTCCAGGCTGCAAATCTTTATGGAAGCAGACTGCCACATCTTTCTCCCCTGGAGCTACTGGTGGGTTCAAACCTCCGACCTTTTGCTTGGCAACTGACCGCTTAACCACTGTACCACCAGGGCTCCTTTCTTCACCTATACTTCACTGCAAAACTTATTAAGAGTAGTCTTATTGCCATCTTCTCTCTTGAAGGGCAGCATTTACACTGTTCTTAGATATGTTCATTTCTCTGTAGCATTAAAGATATCTCCCCCTTACATACAGCACCACCCATTTTTCCAGATTCTTCTCCTTGCTCTCTGTTTTCTGATCATTCCTCAACTTCTTTTACTGGATTATCTTCCTCCACTGTTGTTCCCCATGGTTTAATCCTCAATCATTGTCTCAATCTACATCCTCTCTCATGGCAATTTTATCATCCCAACAGTGTCAATTTCTGTTGACAAATACAAATGTTTCCCAAATCAAACTCTGTTCCCTCTCATAAGCCTCAGACCATTGTCAAATAACTGCTATACATCTCAACAGGGTGTCTCAGTAGCAAATCAAATCCAATTCAAAATACTCTTCTCCAATGAAGAAAACCAAAGACACAAGGGAAAGATTAATCCAAAGAACTAACAGATAAAAACAGATAAAGATAAAAACAAAAACCACAACTACCACAGCCTCCACCAGACAGTTCAGCACAACTAGATGGTGCCCAGCTACCACCACCGACTGCTCTGACAGAGATCACAATAGAGGGTCCTGGACAGAGCTGGAGAAAAATGTAGAACAAAATTTTAACTCACCAAAAAAAAAAAAAGACCAGACTTACTGGTCTGACAGAGACTGGAGAAACTCTGATAATATGGCTCCTGGACACCCTTAGAGTTCAGTAATGAAGTCATTCCTGAAGTCTGCCTTTCAGCCAAAGACTAGACAGGCCCATAAAACAAAACGAGACTAAATGGGCCCCACCAGCCCAGGGGCAAGGACAAGAAGGTAGGAGGGGACAGGAAAGCTGGTAATTGGGAACCCAAAGTGGAGAAGGGGAGAGTGTTGACATGTCGTGGGGATGGCAACCAATGTCACAAAACAATATGTGTATTAATTGTTTAATGAGAAACTAGTTTGCTCTGTAAACCTTCATCTAAAGTACAATTAAAAAAAAAAAAGGAAAAAAAATTCTCCACGGCCTTTCTAAACATAAAAGCCATTAAAAAAATTGTGAATCTGGTTACAATTAAATTTTACACACCATAAACAAAGCCAAAAGACCAACTGTCAAGAAACGCTTGCAACACATGACAAGGAAATAATTTCATTAATATATAAATTGACAAACCTGTTCCTGCAAAATCAATAAGGAAAAGGTCAACAATCCCATACAAATATTGTTCACAAAAAAGCTCTTAAGCATTTCATACTTATCGGACCAGCAAGAAAAAAAATCAACTATACCATGTATGGGGAAACAGGAACTCTTCTACACTGATGGTGAGACTAAATTAGTGAGTATATTTTGGATAAGAATTTGGTCATTTCTAGTAGAGTTAAAAATATGCATATCCTAAGACTTAGTCATTTCACTTTTAACCATCTGTACACTAGAGCTCCTTGTTGTTGTGTGCCGAGTCGATGCTGACTCATAATGACCCTATAGGACACAGTAAAATTGCCCCATACAGTTTCCTAGGATGAAATCTTTATGGGAGCTAATGGGCTCAAAACGCCGATCTTTTGGTTAGCAGCCAAGCACTAAACCACTGTGCCACCAAGGCTCATTAAACAAACAAAAACACCCCACACTCGTTGCTGTCAAGTCGATTCTGACTCATAGCAATCCTATATATAGGACAAAGTAGAACTGCCCCATTGGGTTTCCAAGGAGCAGCTGGTGGATTCAAACTGCCAACCTTTTGGTTAGCAGCCGAGCTCTTAACCACTGGGCCACCAAAAAAAAACCCAAACCCATAGCCGTTGAGTCGCTTACAACTCATAGCGACCCTTTAGGACAGAGTAGAACTGCCCACTAGGGCTCCTTAAAAACAAAACAAAAAACCGTAGCAGTGGAGTCGATTCTCACTCATAGTGACCCTATAAAACCAAAAACCACACCTGTTGCTGTCAAGTCGACTCTGACTCATAGTGACCCTGTAGGACAGGGCAGAACTGCCCTATAGGGTTTCCAAGGAGCAGCTGGTGGACTCGAACTGTTGACCTTTTGGTTAGCAGCCACGCTCTTAACCACTGTGCCAGCAGGGCTCCAAAGGGCTTCTTGGTGCACAAATAGTTAAGCACTCAGTTGCTAACAGAAAGGCTGGCAGTTTGAACCCACCCAGCGGCTCGCAGGAGAAAGACTTGACAATCTGTTTCCATAGATTACAGCCAAGAAAACCCTATGGGGCAATTGTACTCTGTCACATGGGCTCAGTATGAGTCCGATCAACTGACAGCACCTAACAACAACAACATCCATTAAAGCAGTGGTTCTCAAACTTTACCATGTATCAGAATCACCTGTTAAACAGATTGTTGGGCCCCAGTCCCAGAGTTTCTGATTGACAGGTCTGGGATGGGCTTGATAATTTGCATTTGTAACAAGTTCCCAGGTGATCCTGATGCTGCTGGTCTGGTAACTATACTCTGAGAACCACTGCCCTAGAGAAATTCCACACATGAGTATAGGAAGATAAAAACAAAAACCAGTTGCCCTCAAGTCGATTTCAACTCTTGGTGATCCTATGTGTGCACTGCATTGGGTTTCCAAGGATGTGACCCTTTGGCAAAAAGACTGCCAGGTCTTTCTTCCAAGAAACTTAAAATACATTAGTAGGGAGATTAAAAGAAAAAACCAAACCTGTTGCCGCTGAGTTGATTCCGACTCATAGTGACCATAAAGGACAGAGCAGAACTGCCCCATAGGGTTTCCAAAGAATGGCTGGCGGATTCGAACTGCCGACCTTTTAGTTAGCAGCCAAGCTCTGAACCACTGCGCCACCGGGGCTCCAGTGGGGGGAATAGATAACTAAATGGAGTTATTTTCAGATAATGGAAAACTATGACATGAAATTTAAAATTAATGAACTAGATCTATAAAACTATGGCGATCAAAGACAATGCTAATAAATACAAGTTTCAAAATGTCATGTATAGCAGATTATTTATGCAAATTTAAGATTCATGTATTGCTTATAGATATGCATGCAGTAGAAGTAAAAAAAAACATTGACAGGCTATGCGTGAGATTCATGGTGGGAAAGGGAGAGAGAGGAATGAGACAGAAACGAATGCAAGATCCTTCATTTTCTTTTAAAGTAAGAATGATCTGGGGCAAATATGACAATACAAATGTCTGGTATGGTAACTATTTGAGTGTATACTATTCTTTGTACTGTTCTGATTTATTATTTTTTAATATATTATATTAGTTGTAGGAATAGTGTAAGGATGTGTTCCTTTATATTACACACAGTCTGGTTTATAATATCCAAGGGAGAAATTTCTTTCCTGAACACCTGGTTTATTTTCAGCCTATGGACAATATGAATTCTATAATTGATAATGGTTCCCTCTTAGCTTGGCTACTAGGAAACGCTGAGACAAACTTGTAACCTATCTTTTGAGACTATAGGCTCATATGCTTGTTCTATATGTTATATTCTATATCATGATCATATGCTCATTGACTAACAGCTTTATTATTTTCTTAACTTTATTATTCCCTTTGCTATAATTCACTCAACTGTTTATTCTTTTATATGTTAAGTGTTTTTTGATGTTGCCTCAAATCCTTTGTAGAAGGTGGTATAATGAATAACAACACAAAAAGCACTTTAAATATTAATTCAACTCACAAACTTGCTGAACGCTTACTTAACTAATAAGCATGGGGGAATTAATAAGACACAGTTGTACCCTCAGAGAGTAATACTAATAACAGATGGAATTAAACGCTGTCCTCAATGATCATGAATACTATCCTACAGGCATTTATAATTAAAACATCCATGTAATCACAGATAAAAAAGTTAACAGTCCTATACTCATGGTTTGCTGTTTCACTTAAGCTAGCAAACTAAGCACTGCAGTGGCATTCTGGTCTCCTTGGTTCCTGCAATTCATGAGTCCACGATAACATCAACGAAAGAGACTAACTGCTTCAGTGATCACCTCCAAGGCAGGCTTGCATTTGATGGAGAACACACTACCATAGAATTGTTTACTTGTCCAGTAACAAGTAAATGTACTTTAGGCAGTTTTACAAATCCCGGATACCATTACTACCAGTATGGGCTAGAATGGCATTTCAATATTCCTACCTAAAACTATCTTTTGGGTGAGTTGGCAATGAAGACGTGAATTTTACATATTAGTAGCATAAGATTTGGCTCTGGAGGTGTGGGTTGCAGGCTCAGCTCTACGCTGGATGATTATAAAAATACTAATTTGGCTTGTTTAAAAAAAAAAAAAAAACTTCAAATTTACTGAACATTTAACAATTTAAGAATTCTCTAAGCCTAAGAAAAGGCCAAATGTTAAAAACCAGTTTACTTTATTGCCTAATTGTTGCTACCAAACCATGGTCCATTATTACATTCAGAAGGGGAAAAAAAAACTACTATGGTCTTGGCCATTTTTTTCATCTTTTTTGCTTCTGACTTATTTTGTAGCCAAGTCTTTTTCTTTTTAAAAAATAACATCTTTCTTCCAATTTTTTTTAAATGTCCAACCCAGAGCTAATAGAATTGGACAATCAGCTCAGACTCTGAGGAGCTCTAACCACACAACCTGCTGAGAGGGAAATTGACTAGGATAGCACTAGTCTAATTAATTTCACTCATAGCAGGTACCATGTTCATCAGCAAAGTAGCCTGGTGCTACATGAACTCTCTAGCACTTCATGCCAACTGCTGAAGATGCCCAGCAGAGAAACAATTTTAGAAAAGAGGAGGTCTATTTGATGGTCATAGTTTGGGAACCTTCACAGGAGACAACTAGAGCCAAAATATATTGGTTTTGGCTTCAAACAAGTTAAGACAAGACCATCCAAGTTCTCTAATGAGAAATTTATTTTCCAAAGCTTACCAAACTTCCTAGTATTCTGACAACTCTGAGGTTGAACCTATCTCAGTTATATACCATCACTTACTTCCCTGCTCACTCTATTAAATCCTGACCTTTGAGTATATTACCTCTTCTGAGCCACATCAAGAAATATACTTTAAAATATATAGAAAATGTCAACAACTCAGCAACAAAAAGACAAACAATCCAATCAAAAAATGAGCAAAGGATATGAACAGACACTTCACCAAAAACGACATTCAGGCGGCCAATAAATACATGAAAAGATGCTCACAATCATTAGCCATTAGAGAGATACAAATCAAAACTACAATGAGATACCATCTCACCCCTACAAAGATGGCAATGATTGAAAAAAAAAAAAAAAAAAAAAAACCCAGAAAACAACAAATGCTGGCGAGGTTGTAGGGAGATGGGAACACATACATTACTGGTGAGAGTGTAAAACAGTACAACCACTGTGGAAAACAGTATGGCACTTCCTCAAAAAGCTAGAAATAGAAATATCTTATGATTCAGCAATCCCACTCCTAGGTATATATCTTCTAGAAATAAAAGAGCAGTAACATAAATAGACATATGCACACCTATGTTCATTGCAGCATTATACACAACAGCAAAAAGATGGAAACAACCTAAGTGCCCATCAACAGATGAATGGATAAACAAATTGTGGTATATACATACAATGGAATACTATACATCTATAAAGAATAATGAGGAGTCTGTGAAACATAACATGGATGAACCTGGAGGACATTAAGCTGAGTGAAATAAGTCAATCACGAAAAGACAAATATTGCATGGTCGCACTTAAAAAGTCAAGAATAGGTATATACACAGAAAGCAATGTTCTTTGATGGTAACCAGGGATGGGAGGGGGAAACACTTTCTAGATAGTAGACACTTGTTATTTTTGGTGATGGGAGAGGCAATACTCAATATGGGTGAAGTACACACAACTCGTCCAAGATAAACAAAGACACTAAGAAAATGTCTCAATAGTTTAACCTGCAGTGTATGTAGAGCAAGGCTAGAGCATTCTCTGTAAAGTGTTACATAGACAGCTTATGTAGTCTTTTACCTTTCATTTATTCCCCATGAGCACTGCTCCATCTTCAATCCAATGCACTCATCAGAGGATTAAAAAAACAAAAACCAACAACTAACACAGATAGGCATATTCCATATATGATATCTATGAGTTAGCCTTATACTCATCAGTCTTAAAATCACAGGAGAAAGACTATGAAAATATTAGGTTGAACCATGAAATTGTTATTTTGTAGGTCAAAAATAGTCAATATCAGCAATTTCATATGGTTCAATGTAATACACAAACATACACAAGCTACACGCCTGGGAACACAGCTTCTTGCCAGAGAATGGTTAGGAACTTTTTCGAAAGCCTATCACTTTTTCTCTCCTTTTGGTTTAAAGCCTTGTACAGTTTCCAAGTAGGGAAAAATCTCAGTGTCATAACTATTTGAAACCTGAGAGACATTTGCGTTTTCCAAAGCAGAAGATGCCGAAAAAATAACAATTAAAAAAAAAAAAAAACCCTATGGAAACACTTGGGTACGCTCATTTTTGAGGAACTGATGTGACCTAAAAGGAGCTTTTTTGGTTCTTCTGTTACAGTGTACTCAATAATATACATCCCAGGAGGTAATAACTACTTTCTCATTACCCCAAGGACAAATTATTACAGGTCACACTGACTCCCTCTAATGCAAGGTTCGAATGATTTTTGAGTATTTGTTATGACTAAACTTTCTGCAGTTCAATCTAGTTGAACAAAATATTAAATGCACTTTTTTTTTAATCTTAAAGACACTTATTAAAATGAAACTAAGGGCAATCAAGAGATATCTCAATCGCAAAGGGAAGACAGAATGGAGGTTTTTTATGTCTTTTATCAGGTTTATGTTTCTAAAAATTTACTTTCAAAGTTAAAGGTAACTGCTTTTTTTTAAACTTCCTTAACACTGCACTTTTAATGGAGTTTGGCAATACTAAGTAAGCCTAGAGATCAAGAAGAAAAAAGTCAGCAGCCTAACAGAAAAATGGGCAAAAAACAATCAATGGTTTACAGGAATGGAAATACCAATGGTTCTTAAATATATGAAAAGATGCTCAACCCTCATTCACAATAAGATAAATAGAGATTACATCACACAGTGATTCACCCATTGAACTGGCAAGGATCAAAATGTATGATAACACTTGCCCAGTAAGAACATTTCTGGTTGGAAAACAAATAGTTACAATTTCTGTGAAGGACAATCTAGCAATATCTACCAAAAAAACAAATGCACACACCCTTAGATCTAGCAATTCCACTTCTAGAAATTCATACCTACTGATATATTTTAAATGACAAATATAAAAGGCTAGTCACTGTGGCACTATTTATAATCACAAAAGAATGAAAATAACCTAAAAGTTCATCAATAGAAGGTTGATTAAATAAATTATGATACAGATAGCTAATGTAATAATAAGCATCTGTTAAAAAAAATGAAGAAGCTCTTTCTATTAAAAAGGGCAAAAATATATATCTGTTTTAATATATATATAGAATATCTATGGGAAGCTACACAAGATTCTAGGACACTAGTTACTTCTAGGGATGGAAACTAGGTACCTGGGTAGGAAGGAGAATCCACTGTATCCCCTCTTACACTTTTAAAATTTTGAGCCATGTGATTACCTATTAAAACAAAATTTAAAAAATGCATTAGCAGCCTTTACAATTAATTTTTTCAAGAGATGGCTTATAAATCAGACCCATATGAGAGACAAGATGAGAATTCTTCAGTGGCTTCCAACTGCTATCCAAATGAAACCCACACTTATTATGACAGCCATGGTCTCTGCTTACCTCTGACTTCATCTAAAACCCTTCTGAATCACTACACTTTAGTCACTCAGGCCTTTAATTCTATTCCATGAACACATCAGGCTCTTTTTCTTAACCTGGAACGCTCTTGCTTTCTTCAGATCTTTTCATAGCTGGATAACAGCTATGAAATGTAACAGCTCACCCCTGGGTGGTGCAAACAGTTAATGTGCTCAGCTACTAACTGAAAGGTTGTAGGTTAAGGTTGGAGGTAACTTGGAAGAAAGGCCTGGCTACCTACTTCTGAAAAATCAGCCATTGAAAACCCTATGGAGCACAGTTCTACACTGACACACATGGGATCGAATCAGAAGTAATATCTTTAGAGAGATCTTCCCTGACCACCCATCTTAGGTAGCCCCCACTGCTAGCCTGTCCCTCTCATCATATTACCATATTTTCCTTTCTTTTTTATTGCCACTATGTAAAATAATCTTGTTTTGTTTTTTTACTTGTTTATTGTTTTTTCCAGAAGAAGTTAACCTCAATAAAAGAAGAGTGTCCTCCTGTGCCTGAAATGGTATTATAAGAGGTACTCAGTAAATAACCTGCTCAGTGAAACTAGTGTTGAATAACTACACTTTCTCTTCGGGGATCATGTTTTTCCTTAATGAAGTCTAATAAAGTGTGGTGGTTGCTGAGTGAATAATACTAAAGTAATCGAAACTTACTTTTAAAACAATTTTAAAAAGTAAAAAAGAAAACTATCAGTTCATTTCACTCCAATTTTGAAGAATTCATTTAGCTGTTGGGGACTCTAGAAGTCGAATTACTAGATCAAAGGGTATGTGCAGTTCTTATGTTTATTTACACCTTTTTCAATTAAAAAAAAAAGAAAGAAATCCAGGAGAACTTGGAAGAAAAGGGAAACCTGAAGGGATAATGGGGAAGTTTCTGAACCCACAAACCAAAACCACTGCCGTTGAGTCGATTCTGACTCAGAGACCCCACAGGGTTTGCAAGGCTGTAAATCTCTACAGAAGCCACCTGCCACATCTTTCTCCCATGGAGCCACTGGAGGTTTCGAACTGCTGACCTTTGTGTTAGCAGTCAAATGCTTTAACTACTGCACCAGCAGGGCTCCATTGAAGCCACAAGACAACGGTAATATAAGCATATTTCCCAGAAAAAGTATATGCCACCCCTGGTTATAGAAAGTACCGTTATAGCAGCTGTTAGGACTCAAAATGTCCAGCACTCTGGCTAGACCTCTAAGTTATTTCAAGTTAAATTCTACACAATAAAATTTCAATATACTGATGAAACTGAGGTAAAACCTTATCATTTACTTAGATTTGACTTATAATTTTCATATCTGACACTGGGTGTGATTCTCTTAAAATTGACGTGGAGAAAAGATAATTAACATTAAATACATACATCTGTAAATGTCTGTATATGCAGACACATCTTATAAACCTGTCTAGACACATAACTAAGTTTTTTCTGTACCAAGCTAAGATGCAGCTTGAAGTAGACCTTAGTTCTAACATAGCCACATATGTATCTAATTAAGAGTTGAACTGCTCTTGTATATAAGGAAAATTCAGAAACACGTATAGCATTACGTGTGACATGTCAGTACCTTTATAATTTTTCCAGTTTATAGATATCTCTTAGGCAGGCACAGAATCTGAAAAGATTGTGAGGATTAGATATGCTTTTGAATATTTCTCCTCATTCTAAGCGTTATAAGATAGAGGTTTATAGAAATAGCCTGGCTAATTAAGGTTCATCCAGACAAAGTCAAGCTGAAGATGAACAAGAAGGTACATAAAAGAACCTCAAGCCGCTGAAAGCAGTGGGATAACGAACAGAAGGCGCCCACTGACTCCCAAGCTTCGGTGTGTGTTGGCTGTTTACAGCCTAACTTACTGTCCCTCTTTACAGGTTATAAATAACTGCGAAGTGTCCTTGTCCCCAGGGAGACCTGAACAGCCAGCTCAAAGGTTAAAATATGGAAAAATTCTCACACTATATGCAACTTTTCCAGTAACAAAAACAATCAAAGAGAAAAATCTATTGCCAGTTTAAGTTAAGGGCTGGGGAATCATTCCTTCTTTCTAAAAATTATCATTATGTAAACATTATTGATACAGCTATATTAGCACAGTCCCCTATCCCAAAAATACGCCCAAGGATAATGCAACGCATGCTCTGCTCCAAACACAGAGGTCTGTCCTGGAAAGAAGCAGATGCCACTTAACTGCCTTGTAGGATTGCAACTCCTTAGACCTTAAAAGATTTCTTGAATTTTTGTTTTGCTTTTTAATTTAGTCACAAATCACTACTGAGCTAAACATATCTATGTAACAGCATTGGAAGAAAAAATTCCTGTCTTCACTTGAATGAAGGATCTAGCAGAATAACTACGGCTGCAACAAGCACAGGTTTCACAAGGGCTTGGTTAATACCTGTCAGGTGACTTGTCACTGTTGTTCACGACAGAGCCCCTGCTAGGAAGAAAAGCTCCTCCAGCTGTTTAAAAAAAAAAAAAAAAAAAAAAAGGCAGACAAGGTTCATCAGATTAAGCTTGCCCACACATCACTTTCAAAATCCATCACTTGGGAGATATCTGAAATGCAACAAATGCATCCAAATCAGGAAACAAACCTGATTTTAAACAGGTTGTTTCAACTCAAAGTGGGTTTCAGTTCCAAAGGAAAACACCTTCAGAAACGAAGTTAGAAAGGCAATATCAAACAATCAGCAACTTCTCCATTCCCACAAATTATAATAATGTGCTGATTCCGCTGAATGGGTTGGGCAAAAATCTCTAGGACCACAAACAACAAACTTGGAAAGAATGAAGATTTTTAAACATGTCTCACATGTTACCAAAGATTTCTCCTCTGGGTTGAGAAAATTGACTTACTCTAAAACAAGAGCTGAACCAACTGGATGGCAACTAACGACAACAACTACAAAAATAAGAGCTGGAAAAGAATCAAAAAAAAAAAAAAAAGAAGATGAAAGAAAAGAAAAAAGAGGAGGCGGGGAAAATTCCTTTTGGTTACGAATAAGATTCTTGTGGGGGACATCTACATAAACTGGCACAACATAGTCCATAAAGACAAAGCTCTGCATCCTACTTTGGTGAGTAGCTTCAGTGGTCTTAAAAGCTTGTGAGCAACCATCTAAGATACAACTATTGGTCTCTTCCCATCTGGAGCAAAGGAGCGTGAAGAAAACCAAATATTCAAGGCAGCAATTAGTCCAAAATACTAATGGACCACATGAACCACAGGCTACACAACCCTGAGACCAGAAGAACTAGATGGTGCCTACTACCATTACCACTCTGACTGGGATCACAACGGAGAGTCCCAGACAGAGTGGGAGAAAAATTATACAACAAAAAAGACCAGACTTAATGGTTTGACAGAGACTGGAAGAACCCCTAAGACTACGGCCCTAAGACATCCTTCTGAACTGGAACTGAAACCACTCCCGGAGACCACCTTTCAGCTAAACCACAGAGGCCCATAAAATAAACAATAACACCAAGAGGAATGTACTCCTTAGAACAATCAATTATATGAGATCAAAAGGGCAACATCTGCTCAAAAGCAAAGATAAGAAGGCAGGAAGGGGTAGAAAATCAGGACGAAAGGAAACAAGGAACCCAGGGCGGAAATGGGGAAGGTGCTGACACAGTGTGGGGAATGAAACCAGTGTCATGAAACACTTCATGTATAAACTATTGAATTTGCTCTGTAAACTTTCATCTAATGCACAATAAAATTTAAAAAAAAAAAAAAGAAGAAGAAAGAAAGGGGGAAAAATGTAGAATAGAACTTCAAATTCTCAAAGAATCCAGACTTACTGAAACCACTGAGACTCTCAGGAGAAATTCCTGAGACTATTGCCCTGAGATACTCTTTAAACCCTGAACTGAAACTATCCGCCGAAGTCACCTTTTAACTAAAGACCAGGTTAGCGCAAATATAAAGAATGCCACCCTTGAGTACTGCACTCTTTAAAAAAGTTATCTATATGAGACAACAGTTACTTTAAAACATAGAAGAGAAGGTTAGGGGGCAGTAAAACTAAGTTAATGGGAATGGAACAACTAGAATGGAAATGAGAATACTGATACAATGTGAAGAATGTAACCAATGTCACTAAAAATTACCTGTAGATGGGTAAATTTCACAGTAACCACAAAGAAAGTTAACATATTCTTAAAAATAAAGAGGAAAAACATAAAGTCTCAGTAAAAACAAAACCTACAAAAAAATTATGTGTAGAAATTGTTGAATGGGAACCTGTTATGCTGTGTATACTTTCACCAAAAATACAATAAAATATTAATACACACACAAAGAATAAGATTCTATTTATTATATATTTCTATTCCCAAAGGTGTTTTGAGATTTGAGAGGTTATGGTCTTTCACCTTCTTCCCTCAATACAACTATGAAGAACCTCAGAAAATCCAACTAGCAAACAAGAGGAAAGGCTTGGCCCGAACACCATTTAAGCATGTCCAATCTACAAGGAATTCAAAAACAGAAGAGTCATTTCAATGAAACAAGTAAGCAGAGGTTACATAACCCTAGAGGGTCCTCTGGCCTTTAAAAGAAGCCAAAGTTAACACACAGTTCTCTTTGGCTGTCTATACTTTGGTCAAACCGTTTAAAACTATTTCTTGCTAACATGATTTGGTGATGGAAAGGGCCAAAGGAATTCATTTCAAAGGAGAATGTCTGAATTAGTTTTAGGGTATACAGTTTGGAATAAATTCATTAATTTATAAGCTGAAAAAGCATACTGGCTCCAGAGGATTCAGTATACTACAAAGGCAACCAATTATGCTCAGCATTAACTACTAATATCTAGCAGTACAGATTCAGTATTCCCTGGAGAGATTTTCCTTTCTGAGAGACACCTCCTTCCAAATATGAAAGAGAGATCCAGGTACATGTATGCTTTTAATCTTCTTCTTTAACTGTGGTCTTAACTGAAGAAACTTGACTACATGCATGGACTCACACTCCTTACCTAGAAACCATCTGCTGAAAATAAATTCTCTCTTCTTCTGAAGTTACTTTAAAAAGCCAATTTCTACATTAAGACTGTAACTAAACTAAATGGAACAAAGGACAGGCAGGAAGTTCTTAGTTTTAAGTGTTCATTCCAAAATTCATGACGCAAGAAAAAGTAAAACCACACAGGCAGACACAACAGGGGAAAGTTAGACAGAATGTCTGTCTTAACTGAATTTCCTGGCTTCTGATGATTTGTGTTAGAATTTAAAAGATTCTAACATGCCAGCCAGAATGGCTGACAGATTTTTTTTTTAAGTTACCCATAGAGAGATGAGCTCTAAGGTACATACACTAAGGCAACTGGCTCAGAATCAAACTTCTTTTATACAGTAAAACCAAGCCCATGAATTGCTTTAAGGCATCTCCATTTATAAACTGTTATTACAATTTCCCTTAAGATCTTTTCTAGGGAGAAAAACAGTCTTATTCTAAGGTTTTCATATGTATTACCAACCGTTGATTAAAAATTTAAATCCAAACATCTTTTCGCCTCTACATCATTAGTGTAAAGCCTTATCCTATATACAGCAGTCACCAGAGAAGATCTGAATAGAAACTGCAGTTTACTCAAGGAAAGAATATTTGGAGTAAAACTTCTTTTGAAGCCACTTACGAAAAATGTTTTCCTTAACACTGTTTGTAAGGCTTATTATTAAAAAAATAAAATCTCACACTTACTTATACAACTTCAACTTTGCATACCATTTGCACTGAAATGAAATATGTAGTAGACTGCACTTAGATGTGCATTTTTTAAAGTCATAGTAAATACTTCAATGCATTTCATTCTGTTTTTCTCCCTCAATCCCTTAAACTATGTTTAAAATAAAACTTTGTAAACACTCACCAAGTTAAGTCAGTAGGAAGACTCTAATTTGTCTTGTCTAACAGGAAATCTCTGTTGGAAATAGAGATGATGAATCAGACTTAACTAAATTCTGAATCTCATACAAGTCTTTACTTACTTGGGCTTTTCTTAAAAGGGAAACTCACAAACACGGGCAATACATTTGCAAAGCAATGACTAGTGAAAAGGATTCACTAGTCAAAATTACCGTTCTTATATCTCATCACTAGCTCCGACTGCTCTATTTTATTCCTCTCTCAAGAAGATTATACTTAGAAATGAAAGTCAGGCAGATCCAAGATAGTTCCTCTAACAAACTAGCCTGTATGAGTGCAGCAAAAATGAAATACGTGACTTGGCCCATGTCAGTATTTACAAGAGGGGGGTGATCACTTTTGTCAGCTACCTCACAGAATGTTGAATTTCTATGAATTTACCTTCATGTAAAATACTCTTTTTAATAAAGTGCTCTGTCGGTAAATCACACCAAAGCAAGACACAGCTAAACAAAGCCACGTATCCTATAATTTTAATAAATAACTGCCACCACTAAGGTTTTTGGTTTTGTCACTAAAGACTGGATTAATTCTGATTATACAAGGCAGAGAGGTTCCTGTTGAAAACTGATGAGATATCTTGCCTAAGCAACATAACTACTCTAATAATCTATCACTTCCTGTAAAGTGACTCAAAACACAAACAGGGATAAGAGGGATGGGTGCAAGCCTTCTAGGAGTCTAATCTGGCAGAAAATTCTGGCGTTATCTTCTCTTTTATGGGGAAATGAAGTGCTGCATAAATCATGGGCAATCGATTCTTTAAAATAGAAGAAGTTTTTCCTGAAAATGTGGATACTAACTTTAACTGGTACACTGGCAAAAATAAGCTTTGCTTATGCTATAATAGATTTTGGTAAGCCAAGTCTGGTTAGTATCAGCTATAGGGTGTGCCCTCACCAAAAAGTGTGCAAAATTATTAAGGCTAAAACAGGACAGTCTTGATCAGCTACCGTAAAATAAAGCCTACAAAAATCCCACGTAGTTCAGTTAAGAATAGCAGGAGTCAGGCTGAACTCATTCAACACATACATACTGAGCATCAACTGTGCAAGCATTCTTTGAGCCGCAGTGGTGAAAAGACAAAGTTCTTGACCCTCTAAGGTTAGAGAGATAAATGCCTTTAAGACTTTATAAGTAACTACTCCTAGGCAGAAGACATCAACCAACTCTAACAAATGAAAATGCTCTGAGTATCTATGATTCTTAAAGTAGTAACCATAAGAAACCAGTTAACTTTTATCCTTTGCTCTTTTTTTTTTTTAAGGGTTAAGATTTTGGTTTCTCAGTTAATTTGCTGGAACTAACATTTTTAGGCCCAATGAATTTGGCCTAAATTTAAAGAGTCTGACGATACTGGTAAGGATACTCTCACACTGCTAGTAGGAGGATAAATTGGTACAACCGCTTTATTATCTAATAAAACTGAGGATGAGTGTGTGTCTGTATACATATATATATCAATTCCACTTGCAAATATATGGACTCAAGAAATTCTTCATATATGCATTAGCACACATAAACAATAATGTTCAAA